GCTGGACTCCCACAGCGCCAACCATGGTTCAAGTCTTGGACCTGGCAGCTTGCTTTCTCACTTTGCCTCTCTCTCCCTCTCTCTCCCTGTCTCTCTCTGGTCAAATTAAAATAAATAAATAAATGAATATATAAATAAAGTTAAATAATTTTTTAAATTGGCATGTATATGTGTCTAGGAGGAACATACACTTGCCAATTAGTCACAGTTACCACAACTCCCTATTGTCTAACATTAGTCTCTATTTATTTATTTATCATTTTTTTTTGTTGTGATTTTCAAGCTACCAGTCCAGGATTCCAACCATAGTTAGCCATGTGGGAATCCAGCACTTTAACACCACACTGCCTACTGGCCTGTCTCATTTATTTAATGATGGCTCTTGAGTTTGAGACCCCTGATCTGGGATAATAGGACATAAGAATTATGAACAGGAAGGCTGGCAGGTGGCTTGGTGGTTGAGGTGCTAGGTTCTCACATGGCTGACCATGGTTCAAGTCCCAGAACTGGTGGCTTACTTTCTCACTTTCCCTCTCTTGTCAAATTAAAAATAATAAGTAAGGGGACCAGCAGGTGGCGTGGTGGTTAAGGTGCTGGATACTCCCACATGGCTGACCACGGTTCAACTCTTGGACCAGGTGGCTTGGTTTCTCACTTTCTCTCTCTCTCTCACTCTCTTTCTGTGTGTGTGTGTGTTTCTGGTCAAATTAAAATAAATGAATGAATAAATAAAATAAAATAAAATAACTATAAAAAATAATAGGTAAGTAGGGATCAGCAGGTAGTGTAATGGTTACATTGCTGAACTCCCACATAGTTGACTGTGGTTCGAATCCCGAACCCAGCGGCTTAAAACTCATGTTGGACGCATGTGCGTGCATGCTCAAGATCCCAAGAGGAGAATGGAGAAGGGATTGCGGCATGGCTATCCCCCCTGAGCGGTGATTTCTCGTTTTCTGTCTCTCTGTCTCTCTCTGTCTCTCTGGTGAGCGCATGTGCCCTATAGCAAAAATCTCTCTCTAAAACAATTTTAAAATCAGTAAATAAAGTAAAATAAAAAATGTTTAAAAAAATAAAAAGAATTGGGAACAGATGAGACCGTGGGGATCCTGACTGGTGGCAATGCTGTGGCCTGTAGACTCTTGGGCCTCACTCACTCCCTCTCTCACCTCCAGTCACCAGGCCAGAGCTTCATTGTACTTCACGCTCATTTTCGCCTCAGAAGAACCTCCTGGTATCTGGCCCTGCCTTGGGCAGCCAGAGGGCCCTGGTCAGTAAGTGAGGAGCACAGGCCGCTCCATGAGCCAGCAGAAGGCCGGGGCGCAGACGCCGACCGTCACTGGTTCCTGTAGCAATGATGGCCCTGGGTTATTAGGCACTTAACACGTGCCAGACACTGCACTAAGGACTCCCACGCATGATCGCATTGAATCAGTGTTGAAGGCGCATTTTGCAAATGTCTCTGAACTTGTCAGAAGGACACTGTCTTGCAACCTAGTTTATACTGTCCAGTACATAAACACAATTTCCACAAATCCACGAAATTCCCTTGACTCCATGATATTTGAAAGTTTCTGTATTTATTCAGTAAGAGAAAGAAGCACTTCACACTGCAACCCATGCCCGTCTGAGCTGGTCTGGATCACGGGCACACTTTGCACTGCGCGTGCACAGACATCCGGGGACCCAAACCCACAACCTTCCCACGTGGGTCTCATTGCCTTACTTCTGTGCCGCCCCGACCCCTGGCTTCACCATCTCTTTACAAATTATGTTCTATTAGCCACTAGGTGGCGTGGTGGTTAAGGCACTGGACTCCCACATGGCCAACTGAGGTTTGAGTCCCGGACGTGGTGGCTTGTTTTCTCACTTCTCTCTCTCTCTCTCTCCAGTCAAAATTAAAAATAAAAGTAATAATAATAAATAAAATCACTTAAGTATTTTTTTTTGGAGAGGTTTTTGCTATAGGGCGCACGTGCTCACCAGACAGACAGAGAGAGACAGAAAGCGAGAAATCACCCCCCAGGGGGGACGGCCACGCCACAATCCCTTCTCCTCCATTCTGCTCTCGGGATCTTGGGCACGCACGCACACATGCCCGGCGTGAGTTTAAGCCACCAGGTCTGGGATGCGAACTGTGGTCGACTACATGGGAGTCCAGTGACATAGCCATTACGCTCGCTAACTGCTGGTCCCAGTAATTTTTTTTTTTGAGAGGTTTTTGGTATAGGGTGCATGCGCTGGCCGGGAAGACAGAGAGAGATAGACAGAAAGCGACCTGGTCCTACTGACACGCTTTGTAGTTGGTAGCTGTTAATCAGAGTTTGTTTGTTTGTTTTAAATACACAGTGGAACATAACTTTTTAAGAATAGTTATGTTGGATCGGCAGTTGACGTAATGGCTATGTCGTTGGACTCCTATGTAGCTGACCGCAGTTTGAGTCTTATACCCGGTGGCTTAAACTCACACTGGGCGCATGTGCACGTGTGCCCAAGATCCCGAGAGGAGAATGGAGAAGGAACTGCCGTGCGGCCATCCCCCCTGGGGGTGATTTCTCACTTTCTGTCTCTCTGGGGAGCACCTACACTCTATAGTGAAAACCTCTCAAAATAAATAAATTAATTAAATAAATGAATAAATAAAATTAAATAAATATTTTAAAAAAAAGAAAAGAAAAACACTGGGATGGGTGGTGAAGGTGCTGGACTCTCACATGGCTGACGGTGGTTCAAGTCCTGGACCAGGTGTCTTGCTTCCTCACTCTCTCTCTCTCTCTCTGCTGAGCACACATGCCCTAGAGCAAAATTTAAAACATAATAATAATTTAATTTTAAAAAATAAAAACACTGAGACGGAGGAAAGGGGGATGAGGGAATGAATGGGTGTAAGAACCGGAGGGAAGAGGCTCAATCACTCCCCAATACTAAGACAAGGAGTTTTAGGGTCCAGCAGGTGGCCTGGTAGTTGAGGTGCTGGACTCCCACACTAAGCGCAGTTCGAGTCCCGGACCTAGCAGCTTGCTTTCTCACTCTCCTCAGTCTGTCTCTCTCTGGTGAGCCACCTGCCTTATGGCAAATTAAAAATAATAACAATAAAATCAAATAATTATTTTAAAAAACAAAGGATAAGGAGATTTCACTGTGATTGGATTTCCTGCTTCTCTGGGATGTCCCAGGACTTGGCCCTGCCTGGAGGGCTTCCCTTGCTGGGGTGACACCTCTTGGCCTGTGGCTCAGAGGTGACTCACTCCCTTGGGGGAGGTGACTTAGTTTGGTTGGGTCAGGGATCTGGGAGAGGAGAGGGCAAAAGTCACCAAAAGCCACCATGGAACCAAGTGAGGGAAGTGACAGTGAGAAACCGAAAAAGGGAAAGGGAAGAGAAGCTGGCAGAATGAAATTCGCCGAGGTCTGCCCGGGCATGTCCCTGCCAGGTGCCCGGGGGCTTCCCCCTCCTGAGTCCGCCAGCTCCGGGTGAGTGTGGCCACGTGTGCATGCTCCGGTGTGTCTTGTCGGTGCCACTAGCAGGAGCCTGTCACAGGCGCGGCTCTGTGACAGGAGTCGGGGTCATGCCTCTGTGCTGGCGTGACCTGTGCCTCTGCGTGTCACTTTGATAGCTCCAGTGTGCGAGTCGTGCGTCTTTGGTGTGTGTGTGTCCTGGGGGTGGCTGGGACCTGGTGTTCCTGGGACAGGAGCGTGTGTGCGCGTGCAGGCATGCCCGCCAGGACGTGTCCACACCCACGCCGCGTGCTCGTCCGGGTTAGTGAGCAGGTGCGGGCCAGGCGTGCCAGCACGGGGGAGTGTGCAGCCGTGTGCCCGCGCGTGTCAGTCTGCACCCCGAGTGACCGCCCGAGCCAGTCGGCGTGTCCGCGTGCAGGCCCCTGGCCGGGTGCCTGTGCCCGACGTGGCCGTGTGTCCGTCTGCGGTCCCCGCGGCCCTGCCAGCACGTGACTCTGCACCCCGGCGCCGCGGGCGGTGTGTTTGCGTCTCTGGGGGTGTGTGCCTGCGGGTCCCAGTCAGTGTGTCAGTGTGTCAGCGTGCGCGTCCGGCTGTCC